TATATATATATATATATATATATATATATATACATATATATACATATATATATATATATATATATATATATATATATATATATATATATATATATATATATATATATAAGCAATATTACACGAGTAGCAGAGCGAAATAAACTTGTCAGAAGGCTCAGTCTATAGTTGAAACACTCATCAACACATCTACTAGTAGTAAAATTAGTATTAGCATCAGTTTTTCCCACATCAACGTCTTAATTATTTAGTAGCACATTTACTTTAAAGTAGATTTGCTTTTGCAACAATATATTCTAATTAGAAACCAAATTACAAATGACTCCATCTAATAACTGCACACCTCATTTTAAAATGCACGGTATTGGCCAGATGTAAAATGTGCAGGGATTTTTTTACTTGTAAGACAGTAAAGTGTATTATGCACATATGAAGATGAAAATGTGCAAATCCCGGGAATTACACAATGATATGAGCTTATATAGGAAGATCCTCAGCAAGGAAAGGACGTGTGCTTGTGTTCAACAGCTGAAGGATGAAACTATGCAAAAAAACTAAACAAATCTTGCTGAACACAACATGAGTGATTGTTTATTGAACTATTCATTTCAGCCTGTAAATAAGCACTTCTGCTAATCAATGAGTTTTAGTGGACGACAGCATTTCCCAGCATCTTCCTACACTGTAAAGAGTTAAAAGTTAAAGTATTTTGTGATTCACAAGCGTTTTCTGTTTATTTTTGGTAGTGAATTGCATCATGGGATGTTGATTTCTGCTCTGTCGACCTTTTATGTTGAAAATTCAACGCTACAGTTTAACAAAGTGACTTTTATTGACATTTTAGTACTTTAAAATGAAATAATAGAAATAATATATAATAAAAAGAGAGAAATAAGTCTGTTAAATAACAGAAAATGTACTGACAGTTTGTTACAAGGTGTTTTTAGTGTGACATACCCAGACAATATATCACTTTAAACTATTACAAATGTTCTTAAAAGACACTTTTTTTTTTTTACTATTTAAGATTAAAAGTTGTTGGAAGAAAGTTCAAGATCCCTTAATGAAACTCAAAATCATCAATAAATGGGAAATAATAAAAACAAGAATCACAAAATATGGAAAATTGCTAATAGGGTATATGCCGAGCTAGTGTGTTTCCCAAACTGATAAACTTTCGGTGGCCTGTTATTGTGTGTTTTTTTCCATTTTGTTTGGTTTCTTTTACTGCATCGATGTTGTAATGTCATTAAAATACAATCAGTTAAACAGACTTTGGCATTCATTTAGTTGCTCAAGCGTAAATCGAGACAAAAAGCTGTTTACTCGCACACGCCTGTCAGAATCGTCAGGTTAGCGCAGAAACTCCATTGAATATACTGGGGTAAAATGAATGCTCATATTATAAAGACATGACGTGGGGGAATGTAATTTAATGCAGTGCTTCTTGTACAATCTGAGACCCACCTTATATCAGATATCACTCAGCCAGTGGAGCTCGCAGATTTTAAAGAAAACTGACCTTAAACGCGCAGATTTTGCAATGGCATTCAGTTCACAGGAAACGATTAACCCAGGTTACTGGCAAATTAAAAGTCCTATTAGCATGCTTTAGCATATACCCTATTTAGGAATATTTTACAGTGTACGTGTTAAACAGCCTAGTTTTAAATATTGTTCCTTTATGTTTGTTGGATGTTTTATTATAAGAACAATGAAGATGTCTTTTTATAATAAATGACACACTTGTGACAGATTTCTCTGTGCGTTTGTTTCGATTTTGAAATCTTTTCAGACATTTTTGCATTTTATTTCAGCCTTGCTGACTGACACCTGCTGAATGGATCACAAATCTCACAGTTCAGTCACGGATTGGACCATTTTTCAGATCAGTCAAAAAGGAGAGGAGACAAATTTAAATTGCCTTCCATTTATTACAAAAACAGCACTGCAGGAAACTTTTAAGCAGAACTTAAAACCTGTAACTTTATTTAAAACACAGTGAAGAAATAATCAGCTGAATATAAATAAATAGTGCAAAATTCATTGCTGTGAAAAATTCACTTTCCTACTACTCTTGCTGATAACAATGTAGAAATCGAACATTATCACTTGTACAACCAATATTTATTTTTAGTCTCATTTTTAATAAATGATTCAGTTCTTCACTTATAAAACGTCATGTTTTACTGCTAGATAAATTTTGAGGAATTATTCAGTGGCATGTTTTTGATGGCTAGTTGATGACGCCACCTATTGGTAAAATAATGTAATTGCTTCTTACGACTTTCATTTTTGAGCGTCAAGTTAAATGCATTTGATGATGATATTAATCTTCACCATGAAAATCAGTGGTTTAAACCAGTGCTTCTCAAACTTTTTTCACCAAGTACCACCTCAGAAAAAAATTGTCTCACCAGGTACCACCATAATGGCCGGTGTTACAGTAGAGTAGTAGGTCTAATTAAGCAGCTACAGCACTGCACAGTTCAAAACCGTGGCAGATTAACTCTTCTTGTTATTAGCCACTTTAAACATTATAAAAAGTTTGAACATTAACACTGTACTGTGCTTACAGGTAAAAAATAAAAATAAAGAAAAACATTAAAATGTGCTTTTAAACGTTAATTAAAAAGGACACCTTTCTTAAAAGGTGAATAGAAAACTGCTGTACTTAAATGTAAAGTATTATCATCAAATAGCCTTCTCATCAAAACCTGGAAATGTTCCTTGGACCTCATAAAAGTCCCTATATTAATCCGGGGTTGCCACAGCGGAATGAACCACCAACTTATTCAGCAAGTTTTTACGCAGCGGATGCCCTTCCAGCCGCAACCCATCTCTGGGAAACATCCACACACACACACACACACTCACACACACACTCATACACTACGGACAATTTAGCCTACCCGATTCACCTGTACCGCATGTGTTTGGACTGTGGGGGAAACCGGAGCACCCAGAGGAAACCCACGCGAAGGCAGGGAGAACATGCAAACTCCACACAGAAACGCCAACTGAGCCGAGGTTCGACCCAGCGACCTTCTTGCTTTGAGGCGTCAGCACTACCTACTGCGCCACTGCCTCGCCCCTAAACATTATTTATATTACTTTATATTACCTGTACATCTGATAAACTTTTTATATCAATGGACAATGCACAGATATTGATGTTTCACCATGTTTTTACACTACATTATTTAAATCCGATTTACTATGCATTAAACGAAAACTAGCTCTCACGAAAGACAGAGTTAAGATGCTGTTCTTTTATCCCGCAAAGATGCTATGAGGACAAACAAGAGACCAAGACCTTGAGAATGAATAAATGACAGCTTCTAAAATTGTCTGAGAGGCATCCACTTTAGCCCAGTAGGCCTACCTTGTGTTAATTTGCTAATTTAAGCTATTTTTAAAAGATAAATATAATGTATAAAACTAAACATTATTTATATTACTTTATATTACCTGTACGTCTGATAAACTTTTTATATCAATGGACAATGCACAGATGTTGATGTTTCACCATGTTTTTACACTACATTATTTTAATCTACCAAGCTCAGCTTACAATGTTTACAATGTTCTACTTGCATTAAATCGAAATCCCAAATATCAGAATAGACAACAGATTTTTCAGATTTAATTAATGTCAGTTATGATGTTAATGATTAATGCACTTACTTGACAGATTTCAGTCATTCATTTTCCTTCAGGTTTTTTCTTGGTTTACCACAGCGGAATGAAGTTTCCAGTTTCAGTTTCCAGTTTCCTGTATTTATGTCATTCAAATCATCACAATAGAATTGTAATGCAGAACGAAATTACGTTGCAACAGACCCAACAAGAACATAAAAAACATCACTATAAAAACACTATAAAATCCTAACATGATAAATAAGCTTTTATAATTCCATAAAATATAAAAAATATAATTATATAAGATATAACCCATTTTTTAAAAATCTCTGAAGAGAATAACTTAATACTTAAATACCTATTTCACCATTTGTTGTAATATTAACAATTTATGCTAATTTAACAAATTTATTTATTTTTAACACTAGCTATCAACAATGCTTAAGAAATGGTATTATTTAAAAGTCTTATAATGACAGGATAAAAACTATCTCGAAACCGCACTG